AAAAATTACACCTGTTTGCAATGAATTGAGAAAATATAGAACAGACATAAATCTCAGATTTACTAATGAGAAGATGAAGACCTAGATGATAGATAAATTGCCTTGCCAGTGTTCACACAGAAGTGGGCAAATCTTGTTCTAGACCAGATCTCTCTTTCTCTCCTCTCTCTCTCATTCTCTTTCTTCTCTCTCTCTCCCTCACTCTTTTTCAAAATAGAGATTTGAGGCTTCAGAACTACAATTTCCTGGAGGTTATTCAACTCACCTTGAACTAGTGGCTGAGTGTAATGTCACCATCTGATGATCCGGCTTGCTAGAACCGAGTAATATATTCCAGAAAGGACTGCTCATGGGTGCTGAGACGCCCTCATCTGTAAATAGGCTTTCTGATGCTTTGTCAGCATGTTTGTTATGTGGCCTGCACCCTGGGTATCTAGTTAGGCTCCTGGGATCACCAGAGGAGAACCTGCCTCATCTGATTAGTATTATCTGGTTTGCCCTTCATCTGCCCTTAATGATTGTCCTTAAACTACCCACAACCAACAACATCCAGCCTGTGCATCCTTCATTTGTTTTCCAACCAGTTCATTCACTTTCCCTGGGTGTTGTTTGGAGTACAAGCTGAGTTAGTCACTGTGTTTTTCCGGCTGTTCTCTAGTGTCTCAACTTGTTTCACTGGTTTTCAGCTGAGGCAAGAGTTGCCATAGGAACAGGCCTCCATGTTCCTTCCTGCACAGGAAGTGAACCTGGCACTGCAGTGCTGTTTTCAGAGCTGGTCAAGGCTCAGAACGTTCGGCTCGTTATTTAGATGGGAGAGTATCGATGAGCCAAAGGGTATCATTTCTTCCTTTCTTCCTTCCATTCTTTGGTTCTGTTAAAACTGCTTTTGTTTGGTTTCATTTTCAAATTATTTTTCTTCTCGTTGCCAATGATATAGAAACTCAAAACCACAACTGATTTTGGCCAGAGATATCTTCACAATCAGCGGACTTTATAGAAGTTTGCAGAGTCACTAAGGATGAGATGTGATAGATACTGTCTTGTAATTGTGTCACTTAGGAGAAATGAAGGCCTTACCCACAAGCAGAGAGGAGAGTTACCCTCGAGGTAGAACTGAGGGAAAGCAGAAAATGATCTCCTTGGCCAAATACCTCCCAGACATCCTTCCTCCATTGCTGTCAGCTGTAGGGCCTGGAATTCTTCCAGCAGGGATTCCTTTTTCTTGGAGATAACATATAACACTCAATTTCACCCTAATATGAGTACTTGGGCAATTCTCTTAACTTTTCAATCTCAATTTTCTCAATGATTAAATGAGGAGTTGAAATATATCACCTCTAAGGTTCATTTCAATACATGTGCAAAGAGGAACAGTTTTTGAATCTATTATTCAGTCATTAACACATGAATAATTTTACTAGATTTCCCCTCAATGTTTTAACACAAAACAAGTAAATGTAGATTATGATGGATGAAGGAAGACTCCAGGGTATGCCCAGGTGGGGCCTTGGAGGATAAGGTCACTGGAAACATGGGCAGGGGAGGGAGGGACTAAAAGAGAAGTGGGTTTAGAAAGGGGAGATGGAGGGAAGGGTGCTGAGAACAAACTTATACTTACTATTTTGTCTAGAGGAATTTAAAAAGTCCTTTGCTATTTTGTGGCATTTCAAAAGAACAGAATATATTTAGATCTAGAACCGAATAAATCAATCAGTGAAAATGTATAAAATGCCTGAATATCCAAATGTTATGGAGGATTCAAGAGAAACATGGAACCTAGTACCTGCCCTCAAGGAGTCATTAGCAGTGTTATTAGACACCTCAGGCAAGCATCATTGAGGTCTACAATTCCTCATGAGTCACCTTTCAGGTGTTTCAGGAGTTCGGGGGAAGATTAATTTAATAGGAAGCGAACCATTGCTTTGGCAGGTACTCTGCCCGACTCTTTAAACCATCATAATGTATTGTGCATGCTGAGAGCTTTGACACTAGCAAGGCTGGCTGGATTTGGAGGACCGTGATAATTTCTAGGACTATTTGAACTGGGCTATTGCTTCACTGTTCAGGACTGCTTGTGCTGTGTTGCTTCATCTGTAGTATATTAATCACAAATGAGTTATTTTCTTTCTTGTCAGTTTTATTTAATGAATGGGAGATATGCATCAGAGTACAGAGAAATTCAAGCAGGTCAGAGAAATGACTGGAATGCGTTGTATTCTTATTTCATGAAATATAATGAAGTTGAATTAGGGAAACATCTGGAAAATTACTAATGATTACAGAAGTCCAGCAGGGCAAGGATGGTGCTAACGGCAGCATCACAACACCTCCTGTATCCACTGACACTTGGCTAATGTGCTTTCATGCTGTCTGTCTGAAATAGATCAACATGACTGAACAGGCCCCCGAGCCACACGTGGAGGAGGCTGATGATGATGACCTGGACGGCAAGCTCAACTACAAGCCTCCACCTCAGAAGTCCCTGAAGGAGCTGCAGGAGATGGACAAAGATGATGAAAGTCTAACGAAGTACAAGAAAACACTGCTGGGGGACGGTCCTGTGGTAGCAGGTGTGTGCGTAAGGGACAGGGGGCAGGTAGAGGGTCTCAGATACTTTTCAGTCCCCCAGGAGTAGGAGCAGAGGAAAGAGTAGCACCTGCATCCAGGGTTAGATGGGTGAGGCGCAAGTTATATATGATCAATGAAGTTGTGGAATGAATAATTAAGTCTTCTTTCAACAGCAGATGCAAGTCAGCAATGCAATGGGCAAAAATCACACGTAGGGAGGATTGAGAGAGAATCCCAGACTACCACTGAGTACTGCGTTCCCCTCTCTCCTCTTTTTCCTTCTCAGTCCTTACCTAACCATTCATCTCCTCCACATACACAATGGCAGGACAAGACTTGGCCCAACGATAGGAAGGGGCAGTGCCCAGCTAGCAGACTGCCTTACCTACAGCCACCCGGGAAATGTTTGATGTTAGTCATTGTGATAGACCCACAAGTGCCTGAAGCAGAAATACCATTGCCGTCATTTATAAAGCCGTCAAGACCAAGCATGGTGAATCTGCCACTTCCTATTCTATTTCTACTCCAGATCGAGAAACCACTTTTCTGTTTACATTCTCTCTCTCACACTTAAATGCACGTACACTACACACAGAAATCTCTTCCCTGTGCTTACATGCCTTTTTGAATCCTGCAGACCCAACAGTTCCCAATGTCACTGTCACCCGGCTTACCCTGGTTTGTGACTGTGCTCCAGGACCAATCACCATGGACCTTACTGGTAAGTGGACACATCTGTATTGTTCAGAGGGGCCTAAGATCACAGGGAAAACTTGGTCTCTGTCCCCTGTTCCATCAAAAAGAAACCCTAGTAAGGCAAATCCCAGAGGAATATATTCTGGGACCAGTTCACAAATCATTGCTCTTAGAGTGCACAGTATTTACCATGTTTCATGAAAAGCCCAATCTCTATCTCTATTTAATGGAAGAAGGTGTAGGTATATATACTTGATATACTTACTTGTATCATATTTAATTCAGATTTCTATCTCCACGTGATAGTAGAATTAGTACTCATGTAAAAGAGTTCTCATGGAAATATTGAGAAACAAGCTGTGTGCTTCTGGAGGTGTAATGTTTATACAGTCTAAAT